ACATTTTATATATATTTTAAAACAGGGTATCATTCTACATTTATTCAAATGAGTTGGTAAAATTATTGTAGCACAGGACAAGGTTTTCTTTTTCAGGGAGTCTCTACATGTAAGTAGTTTACCCTCCAATCCCAAGAGCATGTGTAAGGCTCAGGTGACCAACCTGCTGGTGGGCATACAGGAACTTTAGCTTTATCAGGCATAAGACTCTAAAGAACAGGGCTCTTTGCATTAGCTGCTCAACACTTGTCTTAATTACAGGTGAAGGACCTTAAAAGGGTGAGCCCGCAGGAAGCAAGAGCAGAAAACTGGGGACGGTTGGGAGGGACAAGAGAATGAATGCACAGCTTTGAATTTAAATAAAACAGATTATCAAAGTGAGTATTAATGAAGAAATTTTCTGAGTACAACGGAGGAGACTAAGTATATAATGCAGCAACAGAGTCAAAAAGTACACTGGGCAAGTCCCATGACTAGCCAGATTCACATTGGTACACAAAACACCAAATGTTAATTTGTATCTGGGCTGGAAAATGTTTCTTTCTCTGCTCAGATAAGATAGGTAAAAACATTTTATGTTGCATGTAAGGGCAAGTTAAAGGGTACACTGAAATGTAACCTTTAAACTTCACAATGTAACAGCATCCCACTTCCTGTTCAGAGATAGCACTCCAAGATCAATTAATCACGGCCAAGACGAACAAACGGTCAACATTCTTAATTAGTGTTGATGCATTTTCCTCTGTGCCCTCATCTGTCATGAAGATTGTTTAAAAATCTGAGTTATTAGTCTTTATTGAGGAGTGGATCTGGTTAATATCTCTAAGAACAGAAATCATTCATCTAGCCACTATACACCAGTACCTGATAATTCCTACCCCCTACATAAGCTACAGATAACCAGTGCCCTAAGACCATCTTGGGAGCTATAAATCACAATGAGTATAGCTCCCATGCAACCTGGGTTAATTTTTGTTTACAATATATCCACTGAAAATGCTGGTATGACACTTGAGGAGACTGCTTATAGATTAGTGCAGAAGAAAATACATAAAGCCATCAAGGTAGAAAGGAAGCAAATACATCAATCATATGAAACATGGTAAACCCTCTCTAATTCACACTTAATGACTAGAAGATCCATTTTGATCACTGAACTTTATCAATACCTAATTTAAGCAAAGATCCTAAGTGCACAAAACACAATTCATTCACTTGATAACTATAGTCTCATTTATACCATACAAATCAAAGTATTTGACAGCAACATATATACAAAAGTTTTGAGTTATTGCATAGAAACTCCAAAACATAAAGTTAAAATTAACTGTAAGGGTTACTTCCCAATCAGCAGTGCAAAGCAAGTGGTACTAGCAACACAGATATAAGCACACTTCAAATATACTTTGTATTCAATAAGAATAAAATAACACAAGGTAAGCTACTAGGAAAGTCAATTGTAAGATTCAATGTCAACTGTGAAGTTCAGGATTATTAAGATCTTATGACTTAGAATTAATAGGAAAAAATATCTCTACATTAAATTTTATAATTCCTTCTGTTGTTCATCAAATGCACAGACAAAAATCTATGGAAAGACAATTGATAATTGAGCACTGGTGCAGAAAGCAGGTCTGGGCCAGATCTTGATTCAAATCAGCTTTCTACTGTCTGATCAAATGTGTCGGACAGGCTATAGAGAAAAAGAAAAAAGGTACAGGAAGAAAAAAGAATGAAACTGAAACTAAGCGCCCAGAGGGAACCCAGACAGCTTCAATAAAGTCCTGGTTTTACAACGGAGATCAGCATTTCTGAAGCTCTTGCTCTCCCAATTTTTTTTAATAAATTAGTGGGCAACGACATGCCTTCATCTAAAAAAAAACCACCAAAAACAAACAAACAAAAACCAAAACAAGCAAACAAAATGAGAAGTGGAAAAAATGGAAAATAAAAAAGAGGTGGGAAGGTCCAGAATTTCAGAATTTAGGTATCAATTCATACTGCTCTACTATTTTCAAATAAATCTCTGATGGATAAGACACCAGCAGCTGATAGGAGCTTTTTAAGTAGAAATTACCTTTCAAATGTTTCATGATTAAATCTTAACCTCTTACAATCACAACAGGACATTTTAATAGCTTGACACCACTCTGAAGTTAATTATCATGCTTTAAACAGACACAGCAGCTTACTGTGTTCATGCTGCTAATCTATTGCAATACACAATAAACCAGAACAGTGAAAACAAGCACTGTTTCATTTAAATCAGCACTGAACAGTTTCTTCAAGTTTTATGGAATACTAGAGAAATCCCCACAAACTTAACATTTAAGAAAATGACTACAAATTTATACTGGAAACCGCTAATAAATTACCTATAAAACTGCATGACTTAACAGTAGTAAACAATTATGCACCAGATACTGCTAGGTATCAAATAATTTGCTTTCAATGACAAAATTACTCAGGGAAGTTGTATAGAATTCAAGTGTAGAGTTTTCTGCATCATATTGTGTAGAGAAATATTTTTGTTTTCTTCCAAGCTATAGCTTTTTCCCTAGAGAAAATCCAGGTATGTCTCCCCCAAATGGAAAAAATACACACGTATTTCAGACTGTCTAAGAGAAAACAGAAAATACTTACTAAGAGAAAACAGACAAAGGACAGCCCAAGTTAAGTAACTAAGTTTAAGCCAAAGTTTCAAAACAGAGGCTGAGCTTCCAAATTCTTATCAGTCTAAAGACTGGCCCAAAGCTTTCCAAATGCTATGAATGAAAATAACTGCATACTTGGCAAATTTTAAAAGCTTTTATCAGAAAGAAAGTTAAGTGTTAGAATAACTTGCCTGTGGATATTGACATTTCTAATCTTTCAATGAGCTTACCTGGATATTTTCCTAAAAGACATGTACAGCTCAAAAAAACAAGTACAATCCTGAGACAGAAACCACTCACTGGAGTATTTCTTCTGAATGATGCATGAGGTCAAGTAAGTCCATCAATTCATCAAATGGCTTTTCCTGGCTCTTAACCTATTATTGCTCTTGCATTGCATATGAGTGTTTTATCACTTACTAAGCAAAAAAGTTGAACAGAGTGATTCCTCTTTAATAATTTGCTAGTACCAATAGTATTATCTCTTCATAATATGTGAGAGTCAAAACCATGCTTCTATATAAACGCTTTGTTTTCCATTTATGTAACGACAACAGCCTACTATTAATTTTTGAGTATTGGGGTGGAAGCCCTCCTAGATATTCTTATCCTACTACAGAATTCAGAAAAGCAATATACTTTCAAAGTCTAATTTTTACCATGCTGAAATAAAAATAAAGCAAAAACATCCCTCTGTAAACAGTATCCCCTGCATGCTCAACATGTGCAACAGCAACAAACATCCTTAGCATCACATGAAATCAATATTTTGCTGCTTTTCTTTATACAGCTTCTGAAGGAAAACAAGGCAGCAAGTAACTCCTTCAACTGCTATTTCCATAAAATGAAAGCCCTTTCACTAGTCAGTGTCAGCATTTGTCTGAAAACTCACCTAGGAAACCAGATTCTACTTCCAGATGCTCCCAAGGAAACATCAGATATTAAAGAATTGTGGGCATGTATATTTGAAAAAAAAAAGAAATAACCAACCTCCAAATCAAAGACAATGTATCATTTTCTACACCTATTGTGCCAGTTTAGCAAAGGAACATTTTTTTTATGCTATGTTACAGTGTATCTTACTGCAAATACTTAGTAATATTTGCACAACTCCAGCAAGGAAGTCCAAATTTAGGGCAAAATAGAAACCAGTGAAAAATACTTTTCATTTGAATTTCAACAGAATTTGTATTACTGACTCTGGTCAGCTAGAGTACAACACCGTCAGTGTTACGCTTTCAGAAGTGCTATTTATATATTGTAACTTTAAGACCTTCTCTGTTTTCTTCACAGGAAATTAGTCTTTCATAATTAATGTCATAAAATGTTACAGCAACACTGTAGCAATACTACAATTAATGGTTCTGAATGAAAGTGTTGTCTCTGCATTGTTTTCAAATTATTTTAAACAATTCTAATATGCTGGATAAGGTTCTTCTCTCAGGTTTGTTGATGACATGGTCACTGTAACACAAACAAATTATTTGTGAAGTGAAAAAAATATCAAATATTTTCTGTTGCTCAAATAACACATTTGTTGTGTTTAAAAATTATGTACCCACTTCTATCACTTTGATTCTAAAATTTTTATATGTTGCTTTTACCATCTTCAACAGAAAAATGGGTAAGAAAGCCAGGATCAAGACATCAGGTATGTTAATAATAATGTTTGTGTAAGATTTTTTAATTGGAAATGGGGAAATTTGGAATCTATATAATTAGGAAACTATCTAAGTGATTATTATATAAAGTGACGTATTTTGGTGGTCAGAAGAAAACCCTTATATTATACTTATATGATCAAAAAAAGGAGGCTAAAAATCCCAAAACAACACAAATCACCTGATGTGCACAACTACAGATAACCTTGAAAAAAGTCTGATAAGCAATTCCTAGGTATTATGCCTAATGCATAGTGTAGTTTTTTAAACATATACCACTAGTTAATGCAGCAGTCTCTTAACATACAGAACCATGAAATATACCTTTTAATACACCCAGAAATGCTCCTCAATTCTCCATTGCCGTGGTTATTTCCTGGGGTCTATCAAATTCAAACATGGGGGAGTGATCTCCCTCCTCCTGTATGCTGCTCTCCAAGCAAAGAGGACACAGGGAGAGAGGCTGCAGGCTAGGCAAAGCATGATGCAACAAATCCCATAACATAATCTCTCTGCCCACAGCCATAATCCTGAAGTATACCCAAATATGTCATCTGTACACAGCAAAAACACACAAGATAGTATTCAGTTGCATTTTGCTAAATATACATATACCTTATGTCATTTCTTTAATAGCAAACCACATCCAGAGTATTTCAATTATAAGTAAATATAAGTAACTTACTTTTATTTCCAACCAAGGCCACAAGTGGCTGTGTTTCTGATCCTTCATTCACTTTTTTTACCACATTATACCAGTCTTCCAAATTTTCAAAACTCTGGCCATTGGTAATATCATAAACCAAGAGAATGCCCTAAATAAAAAGACATGTTTAAAATGTTACAGACTGGAAAATAATTTAACATGGTAAGATTTGCAGCAGTCTAAATTATTATTGTCATAGAATAGAGCAGTAACAAATAATGGCATCACATCTTTCAAGGGTCAGTTAAAGGAATTATAAATTTCTACACTATACACATACAGTATTTCTCCTGCATTTCATGTGTTCCAAATGCACATTTCAGGAAATAAATGGCAATACAGTCAAGAGCACAATAATTTATATCAGAAATATTACAAACTGTATAGACTTTATGATAAACCCAAAATAGCATTTCACATTAACAGGAAAATAAAAATTACACTGGAGAAGGTCTTTTGTTTTAACAAATATTAGTTGTAGTTTCAATGTTCCCTTTTTTGAAAGAAAAACAAAAGGCAGTTCAATTATACATTTCTGCACATTGTCTGTTTCCGCTGCCTTTTGGGGATAAAGGCCAGATTCCATTCCTTCAGCGTTGCAGAAGATAAGAAGTTATGGGTGAGCTTTAAACTTTCAAAAGAGAACCTAAAGACATGGTGAGAACTCAAAAAGGAGTCCCATATATTTCCAAGGTTTTGGGCCAAGCTACAGGTGACAAATACTTAAAGCAGACACTTCTGATGATTCCTCAGCACAGATATTCAGTATTATAAAGCACAGCCTATTAACCATCCAAATGTCATCTCTGTCCCCTCCACAATTCTAAGATCAGCTCTCAGATCTTATTGAGTCTTCTGCTCCTGCTTTCCACTACACCCTAATAAAATCAATGTCTTGTAAATGAGGAGTAAAGTCAGAATTGGTTTCAGGCACACTTGTTCTCATGAAGTTCACACTTGGCAAAAAAACCCTACATCTGCACACTGTCGCTCACATGAAATTTTCACAAATATTCTGAAAAAACAGTATGATCCATACAAAAATAGCTGGGTGAAAGACCTACTCTCAATGGAAAAGATTTTTCAAGCTTTTTCAGGCATTTGTCTGGGCCCAGTTTTAACTGATAGTTAAAAGGAGTGTCTCAGATCATAAGGAGTGCCTTAGATCACAAAACAGAGTGCACACTTAATAACTTCACATTTGATAACAAATTAGTATAGACTGCAAGATTATTTGAGGAGAGCTCAGATTTTATGATGACAAACAGTGTAAAAATAATAAGATGAAATTCAATAAATACCATGACAAGTTCAAAGGAAGCAATAGCCAAGTGTACAATAGGAAGCCTCTGGCTCAGCAGCAAGTTCCATATAATAGGATCAAGGAGTTACAGCTCACAGATGAATATGTCAAACTTATTTTGCAAATATCACATTGACATAAATCATTCCAGGAAAAAAAATCCATCTTTGGACACTTGAATGCCAAAAAAGGGTACAAAAGAAGTATCACAGGTTTGGAAACCATGACTGACATGGAAAAAGTGGGAAAAAAACCTGTCTGCTTCAACAAATGCATGACTTAGGCATGATGATGCTGGTAACAAATTTCAAGAGAAGATAACAGGAGCTCTCTTTGTATATGCTGTTATACATAGTTTGCAGAAGCCACTAAATTGGGAAGACCAGCCAATGTGCCCAAGGGCAGGGTTATCTCAAAGGGGTATGTAGACATGCTCAAGGAATGGGTGAACAGGAACCTTTCAACACTCAACAAGGACAAGTGCCAACTCCTGCAGCTGGGAAGGAATGAGCAATACAGGCTGAGGGGAGCAATACATGACTGGCTGGAGAGCAACTGAAAACGACCTGCCAGATCTGAGCCAGCAACATTCCCTGGCAGCAAGGATGGCCAACGTAATCCTGGGCTGCATTAGCAGAATTACAGCCACCAGTCCAGCAAACTTTTCTACTCAGCACTTGTTGGGTCATAGCTAAAACAACACATCCAGTCAGAACACATCTCTAGGTCCCTCAAGATAGAAGTGGAGTAACTTCAGCAGAGGGCTAGCAAAATGATGAGAGGCTGGAGCACTTGTTTTATGAGCAAGAGATGAATAAACCCAAATTCTTCAGCATGGAGAGGAAATGGCCCTCGGAAGACCTAAAAGCAGCCTTCCCATACCCATGAGGAAGCAAAGAAGGAGATGGAGCCAGGCTCTTCACAGCAGTGCACAGCAAGATAAAACCTAGTGGGCATAAGCTGAAATAAGAGAAATTCAAACCATAACTAATGAAAAGCTTTTTCACCATGAGGAAGATAAAGCAGGTTGACCAGAGGTTGCTCAGTCTCCATCCTTAGAAGTTTACAAGCAGGACTCAATAGATCCTTGAGCAGCCTAGCTCCATCTCTCAGTTGACCCTACTTAGAGAGTGTTGTACTCCAACCTCCTGACATCCTTCCACCCCGCACTTTCTTACAAATCTGTGATCAATACAACATGTAGTGACAAGTTTAACTCACAGCAAGAAGATTATAGCAAGAGTACTAAAAACAAGCAAAAAACAAAACAAAAAACCCTATGGAGACTAAGAATAGCAAAGCTCTGAAATACACCACCTATAACAGTCGTGTACACCAACACTGAAAAAATTTTTGAAGGTTGATAAAAGTCATTACACATGGATAGCTTTGAAGGAGGGCAGCAGATGCTACTGAGATCCCTCCAACTCCTACTTTCTTATGACAGCAATACCACCCTATCTTGTTTCCTCCAATGTTACTAACTCCTTGGCAAACTTGATTTTTTTGTTCCTTATATAGTTGCTATTAATTTCTGAGGAAGAGCTTGCATCAGTTCCTTCAAGGAAATTAAGAATTATGACACCCAACTCTTGCTATCTTGCTATCTTTCCTTCTTTACTAATCAAATATAAGATTAAACATCCACTTCCCTCTTCCAATTTTGGTACAATTTATTACTTAATATCTTACACCTCTAAGTTCATCTCAGTTAATTTCTCCTGACTATTTTTATAACTACCCAAATGCCTGGGCACTTGGCATTAAATTGTCAAATTAAATTGTCTCACAATCTAAGTTTTGCTCTAGGAAGGACATACTTAAGTTATTAAATGCTCAGTGGAAAAGAAACTCAATCTAAAGGATAGGTATGGTAAAAAAAACACCAGCCATAATGCTGGAAGTTGTAAATGAGGAAGAGCACATGGCAATGCTTCTTTCACCAGCTGTCGAGTTCTTTCACCAGCTTGTAGAAGAGCAGATTATCTAAACAATCTTCAACACTAATCAGAGTTCGATGGAGAATAAATAAGAAAGTGTGAGCATTTAAGGTTAGTCAACTCTTTCTAACCAATTCTTCATCAAAATTCCACTCTGCTTCATGTCTTCTAGACAACTGTAGCCTACCTACCCCTTTGGATGAAGGGGTATTCACAGTGGATTTACCATCAAAGAAATCATTTAACAAAGTTTGCAACTAGGGCTGACTTCACTTCCTTTTGGTCCCTTTCTCTGTGATCTAAAACACTGCTTCTAAAGCACATTCTTTTCTTAAACATTTTTTTTAGTCTTGCCAATATTTGCTGCACTTTCAAAAAGCAAAGATGGCAGGTATAACATCATATAGATGCAAAACAAAGGCAGCATGGCATCCAGATCATAAAGAATACTTTCTGCTTAGATTTTCACCACAACAGCACTCTATAAACAACTTAGTATGATAGAGATAATTAATGAAAGACTAGTCACAACTCCATGGCTAAAATTTATTTCATCTTTTTCTTTTATTTTACAGAGAAATCCCATAACTTCTTTCAAAAAAAATACATCATATTTTCGACAAACAGTATATGGAGTACAGACCAAGTAGACAGCATAAAAACTGTTGTTTCCCTATTATGTGTGAGGAATTCAGGAGGAAAATTAACACTGCCATTTTTACACAAAAGTACTGTATTTCCCTGCCATGAAAGAGGATTGAAACACATGGTAGACGACATGCCAAGAACAGCACATTGATTCTCCAGTCTCCAGCAACATGGTGAATAGTCCCTGCTTGCATAATTACACTCTAGTAAGAGACATTTTGTCTATGTTAGTGCACATGTGAGTGCTTTTTGTTTAGGAATTACAGAGCATTTTCAAAAATAGGTCACTGGAAACTGAAAATATTGCAGAAATTATTTGCTGCTCCCTGGAGAAAGTAGAGTCTGCAGTACTCCTATTAACAAGCCAATTTATGATGTAGCATATGCCAGATCTTAATAATAATTTAAACTAGATATGTGGGTAGGGGCAGCAATTACAGGTAAGTATGGGAGCGCTTCTGAAAGATTTACCATGCAAACAGCAGCAGCCTTATTTCAAAACTGAAGTGTTAGTATGGACGTGTTGTAACCAGGCAATATATTTGTAGTGATAATCAAAATTTAAGACATGCCAGTTAATGTCAAGATCTGGCACAAAAAAAGGAAGTTAGAGAAAACAATAATTAAAAATATATGTTTTCTTCTTCATTTATCCTCAGCTACCCTCGTCCTATGACTGACTTTTGCATCAAGGAACTTTCTAATTTTCATTAATATTATAAAATAAGTCAGGCCAAAATTCTAGAGTATTTTTTCTAGTCACAGAATATTAATTTAGTAAAGAGCATGTAATTGTTGCAGAAACGTGCAGATGAAAACAGAGTTTTTTGCAAATGAAAGCAGCTTACAGTCCACACATACTTAACCACTCCTGTCTTTGCTGATCATGTGATCCTGAGGACATGGTCACTCAAATACATGTGATTAAGTGATTAAATTGCCATAATTGAATTATTTACTCTCTATCAGTACAGCTGTGGCAACTGACTACAGTTACTCTCAGCATCTCTCAATTCTGAGATAAATGTGGTAGTTTTAAATAGCTTTCAGTCAGTGTTGATTATTAACACCCTTTATTCATAAAGATCAAAGGGCTCTTCTTTTCCACAGCTTGCAGAGTTCTTCTGCCCCATCACTGAAATTCAGCTACCAAGACAGGATGCAGTAACACATTGTTCTAAATGAGCAATATCAGAAGAAAAAATTAAAAATGTGCAGGGAGAAAGCAACTGCTTAAAGACAGAAATGAATTGCAATTCCTCCAACTGCAACCCATGAAAGTTCTCATGCTCAAATCTGCCATTCTTTTTTTAAAATATGGCACAAAAAATAGGGGATCTCAATCAAAATATGGCATCTTAAGAGCAACCTAACCAAAAGATCTATCCTAGAGAATTGATTCATCTCTCATTAGAGAGAAGGAAACCTCTAATGGCAAGTTTTTGCAGTGAAGTTTAGATGGATACTCCATTTACTCTTGTTGATGTTCTGATCAAATTTCAACCAAGATCAGGTGAACTGTAGACCATAATCTTTTCAGTTGCTAGAGATTCTCTAAACTTCCATCTCCAGCTAGCCATAGAATTTCAGAAGAAGTCCTACCATACATATTTAATTCTGAGCACAAAAATAAGAATTTAGCAGCTTATGATTTCTGAATCTCAGAATGATCAAACAGACAGAAACCTACACAAGGCTATCGGCATCTGCCAGAGATATGCTACAAACAATTCCACACATGTACTTTAAATCTGAATTATTTAGATTTGAAGAATATACAAACACAATTTCTGCAGCAGATCCAAGTCACCAGCTTTACCTGTATCCATACAGCTTGTGTACTTTACAAACAAGATGTTTAAAATCCCAGCTGCACCACACACGCTGACCAAGTGCACATCATAGGCACACACACTTTTTTTTTAGCGAACTTCACTCAAGTTACTAAAATATTTTAAAGGCTCTCTTGCACTGAGGAACCCCAAACTAAATACAGTACTTCAAATGTAGCCTCAAAAATGTCAGAAAACATGATAATCACTTTCCTTGATTTGACTACTTCATTCTTACTAACACAGATCAGTACTCAATTAGCTTTTACTGTTGCAAGGATGCATTGCAAAGTCCCATTCAACTGTTTTTTTACCTCAATAAGATATCCATCCAAGAGCTTTTTCCTCCAAAGCCATTTCCCAGAATGACTGAGGTAGGAAGGGACCTCTGGAAGTCATTTGGTGCAATGATGCTGTTCAAGCAGTGGCACCCAAAGCCAGCTGCTCAGGACCATGTCCAGACTGCTTTTGGGTATCTCTGAGGATGGAGACTCTACAACCTCTCTGGTCAACTTGTGCCAGTTCTCAGTCATCCTCACAGCAGAAAATGTGTTTCCTGATGTTCACAAGGAATCCCCTGTGTCAGTTTGTGCCTATAGCTCTGGTTCTCTACACAAAAGAGCCTGCTTCTTTCTTCTTTGCATCCTTCCTGCATGGTAGATATACATTGATTAGCCTTCTATTCTCCAGACTGAACAGTCACAGCTCTCTCAGCCTTTCCTCATAGGACAGATGCTCCAGACCATTAATCACCTTTGTGGCCCTTCACTGCACACTCTCCAGTTGATTCCCAGCTGCATAAGATTGTTCTGTACCAGGTGCAGGACTTGGCATCTGTCATCAGCTGAACCTCCCAAGGTTTCTGTTGGTCCACTCCTTCAGCTGGTCATGGTCTCTCTCAGTAGCAGCCCTACACTCCAGCATAGTGACCATTCCTCCCCAAATTGGTGACATTCATAAACTTACAATGTTTTGCTCCATTGATAAAAGAATCAGTAAAAGAAACAAGCCCAGTACCAACCCTTAAGAAATAAAACTTATCATCAGGCATCAGTAAGACACTGAGCTATAGACCTTTAAATCCAGCTCTCCATTCAGATTTTCAGTAAATTTATTGTAATATTGTAATAATATTATGGGAGATTATGTCAAAGGCCCTGCTGAAGCAAAGACAAATTACATCCACTGCTCTCCTCTCCATGCAGCTAACCACCTAACCACAGACAACAATCAAGCTGGCTGTGCACATTTTACCTTTACAAACTCCATGCTACCTCTTCGCAGTTACTTTCTTGCTGTTTTGTTGCCCATTCACAGGAATTTTTTATCCATATTTAAAAGGATTTACCCTTACAAATACTCCTACTTGTTCTTCTTTGTTTTTCCTATTTTTCTTATAAAAAAGGTACCGATGTTCAACATTAAATAAGCTTATGCCTAGAAATAAGCTGAAAGCAGTGCTTTTTCAAACTATTCATGTCATTTCATGAATAGATGAAAATAGAGACAATTTTATGCATCTTTAACAGGCATTGTTATAAAGCTAATAGAAAAGTGTGTTAAAACTCAACTTTGATGATAAGAAGCCTCTTACAGACATTGGCAATACATGCAAACATTAGGAGAGAAAAATCATGAGTCCATTAAAAAAATTGGGTTAAAATGAGGACTGGAGGAAGATTAAAGACAAAGAGATTGGACATAGGGTTTTTTTGTTAATGTGTTCTGAATAACAAAAAAAAAATCAAACTTTAGTCTTATTGATATAAACTGCTTATGCACTTTTGGGTACAGGTATTAACTCTTTGACCTGCTATTTTTGGTAAGAAACTCCTACATTTATCACCAAATTCAATACAGACAAAGCTAATAGCCTTTTATTTCCTTCATTAAATTTACTTTGGACATATGGCAACAATTTGTGAATAATCAAATTCCCTCTGTCAAGGAAGCCACTTTCTCCTATTGCTTGCTAGATCTGTAACAGGTTAGCAAATGGGGTTTTATTAAAAAAAATAACATGCTATAAACAGATGCAACAGCTAAAAATATTGACATTGCTTTGAAAGTGACAAAACGTTACATTGACAAGTTTCTCTTTATCCAATTCACTAATAAATCCCAATTTCTTTCATTAGCCATTCCTGTGTTGTATAACATTATCAAATAGCACATGATATGCCTATTGGTCTCATTACAAACTCCAAATTAAGGAAAAAAGCACATATTAGGATCACTCACGCTAAGAAGTTTGGCATTCATAATACATCCTCCTAAATCATCTCATGACTCAAGATGCAGTTATAATACTTAACTCTTAATCCTACCATCCACTTAAAGTTGCTTAGTTAACCTGAAGATAAAGTTAATTTTCATTGGATAGGAGTTCTGCAAAAATATTTAGCTACCTGGTTGTCTCCTTTTGTTTGCCCCCTTATAACCCCAGTTGCATGTATGAGTTTAATGGTGTAGGATTGCTCTTAATTTCCTCCTTCTACCTTTTCCCCCCAGGAGGCAGCTGTTCTGAAAGCAGCCACTCTATCTACCATGTGGATATCCAAATAGCCTTTACTATTTATTGTGATTGCTTTTCTTAACTCAAGACACAAAGCCTGGAAACAACCATCTGTTCCTGGGAGTTATTCAGTTCTATAAATGCACACACTTGCTTTGCTTTTTATGTCAGCTCTAAAAAATTAGCTACACACCAAAATTAAAGTAGCGTATTAATATCAATTAAGTTTAGATTGAACAGACATTCAACATTTTTGAGATTCATTAATCAGTCACCTAAAAGCTAAATATAATGTAGGTATGCATACATTAATTTTCAATTAATTTTATATCATTGCTATAAAATATAATTATCAGCATTTATACTGTACCTGAGCTCCATAAATATATTTATCCAGCATTTTGCCTCCTATTGTTTGTCCCCCTACATCCCACACTTGAAGAGTAACATTCAGATTTCCTGGAAAAAAAATTATACAGATATTGTGTAACCTGGACAATTTACACACAAATATATTCAACAACAATAGCTTTTAACAAGTATACAAGAAACAGGAACTAAATTTTGAAACAAAAATAATTGTATCATCTGAGAAAAAAGTCATTTGTGTCCAGCTAAGTCTATAAGATACAATAAACTATAGCCAGCTATTAACATATCTAATAGTAACAGAAAATAATTGGAATTGCATAAAGTATAACACTCCTGAATAGAAATTATATAACATATTCCACTGAAAAAACATGAAAAAATGCACAAAGAACGTTCTGTAGTGGGGTACTTGGAACTGAAAGGTAACACAATTAATGCCAACTTATCCACATTATTTCACACTGTGTTCCTTCCTCACCCCCTCTACAAATCTTCCCTACAGATCAAGAAGTGAGGAAAATCTTCATGATAACTTCATTTTGGTAGTGATGCTGATAGTAGTAAACAGTTACAGAATTGTATAGTTGACAGAGTAAAAAAATGGAAATGCTGACACCCATCTAAGCTGAGGATGCAAACTATGATTAATTCCTCCACTCTTCACCTTCAGGCATGAAGCTAAATTGTACATGATTTACATAGTCTCATCTTCAAAGAATCTACACCAAGAATAGACCCTCCTTTCTACTCTAAACCATTTTTAAGCTACGTTGAAATTGTTAATAGGTTTTTAAAAACAAAACTAGCAAAAAATCGTGTAGAATATTTAACATCCTACAAATCATACATATTCTCTTAACATCCTACAAATCATACATATTCTCCAAGACAACTCAGCAACTCACAGATCAAAAATATACATAGAAAGGTAAGGTACCATATACATACAAACATATTAAAGTATACTTTGTCACATTTTGTATGGTAAAAACTGTTTTCAGAACTGTACTGGTTACCTGCAGCACCGAACTCTAACAGAGTAAGGACTTACAAACTTTTTTCTAACCCACACACAACTCACATGACACTTATATGTTAATACAAATTCTACATACTCACAAATAATCACAACTGCCCATTAATTTTACTCCTAGATTTTAAAAAATGCAACAAATTTCACATCACAACAATTACAAATCAAGTGAAAATAAACACATTACTTCGGCTTGCTAAGATATATTCTTAATTCAACTATTTTATGTAGTTGACAATCTGATTTTACCCCACATGATCCATTCAGTTGTAAATTTGTAACTGACACGCTGGCATTGGTTACACAAGGGAATGTGCTCCATGGAAATGTATCACTGTACTAGGTGAAAATAACAGCAAATTATAACTATATAGCTGAATATATGCTACCAGTGACATTACATGTACCACATTATATTTTTATTATGCAATCTTGCTTTAATCTGGTTAAAAGAGCAGATTCCCAAAACTACTACCTTGGTCTCAAAAATACAGAGATGAATGTGAAACAGTACTATTAGGCTACTCTGAGTTTTATCTAATACCAAGAAAAAATCTACATGGAGCTTAGAAAACACATCATAAACACCCCAATTCAATCAAGGCAACCTTTTATAATCAACAAAAAGCTTATTTGTTTTGATAATTCATATACTATGTATTAATGAATTAATTATTTTAAAAGCCTAGAATATAAATGATCGCAAACAATGCAGGAAAGCCTTCCATAAACCAGTGCATCCTCAGTCTGAAAAGACTACACATCCTCAGTGGGTAAACAAACTATGCAGGCTCAAAGGCTCACCACGCTGCAATATTCTACCCCTATGTATTCTGCTGGAAAGTCACTGTGCTATTCATGACACCTATTTTGGAAAAAAAAAACCTTTATGCATATTATCACTTTCAAAATCAGTAATTTTCAGATGCCTAATCTTGTGTTCAAGTACTCTAAAAAGTTTCAACTTGATTTTCCTCCTAAGGAAAATTATGCACAGCATTCTGGCCCCAGTATCTGGATAACTGCATGGAACAACCTTAAAAATTGTAGTGCAGTAAGTTACATTAAATAGTCTGTGACTGTCCAATTTAAAAAATCTCCTATTACAAATTATTTACTCTGTTTCATTAACAACAGGAAAAAAAAAAAAAAACAGGGAAAAAAAAAGATTGGGATGCTCATTTAAGGTGAACTTCTTAATTAGGACCTCACTAACTATGAAATTCATACTGATCATCTCCTGAGCAAAATGCTGCATTTTCCCTTTTTTCCAAATAGGTTCTGTAATATTTGCTTTGTGCTCAGATTGATTCTGGGGAAGAAAGAAGGATGTTAGGATTATTCTGACAAAAGGAAAAACTGCAGGCAATTTACCTAGCAAGTATTTAATTAACAACTGAGATAGTAGTTAATTGCAAAGTTCTCTGCAAAAAGTTGGAAATCTTCTATTTTTTCAATTTAACGGGAACATAAAAACTAGAGACTTACAACAAAACAAAAAGAAACCATGCATAATAAGACAGTTCTTAGAAACCGTCTCAACTCTCCAATAAAAATAACAGGAGAATACTGTCAAAATAACATGTAACACACTATTAAGGGACAAAAAATCCCCAGCATTTCTTTACTCTGTAGAAAATGCAGACAATGCAAAGCTGAAACACGTGAGGTAGCATGGTGCAGGTGTGCAGACTGCTCCTGGCATGGACTGAAGCCACTGGGCTGCAGCAGCAGTGACCCTGCAGGAGGACCCTTGGTGCACTGGTTAACCTTACCTGCAGTGCTGCACAGTCAAGACACAAGTCTGAACACTTTTTACACCAACAACTTTAAAAGAATCCTTTTAACAGGAGAATCCTGTTTACTGAGCTGCACCCACAACCTCCCAAAAAGTATACAACTATGGCTCTTAGGAGTCTCTATCAGCAGACCCTCTGAGTAACAGATACACTATTTAAGCACAAAAACCTACACCATAGCTGCATCCAGACTATACAAGATTCTGCATCAATAAATATAATGAAACTGATTAGCACTTAAAAAAAAAGTATTTTGAATAAACTGCATGAAGTGAATTTCTCATGTTGAACACTAGACACATGCTGAGCAACACTGAAAACATTCAAAATTCATCAAAGTACTTCTGATTTGTATTAAACTGTACTGTTTTACCATGCAAAACATTTACTATATTCATTGCAAAACTGCATTAGTTACTAAAACAATTGGAGACAAATGCCTCTTTTATCTTAAAAAAAATTAAAAGAAAACAAAAAAAATCCAGAAAAACAGTACTTTATTTTGTAAGTTATAATATATTTCAATGAAGCCCAATGCAAACTTCTGTGTAATTCTAGAAATCTGTAATTTTAATTTCTGGAATCTTTGCTTACATTGAAGAAGAAAAAAAAAAAACTACTGAACCATAGTTGTTCATCAATTCTCTTACTGAACAAGAGAAATCGACTCCTTTTTCCTACTGATACACATAATTTCTGTGCAGTGGTCTCAATTAACCTGTCAAGTAAACAAGCATAGAGTAAACTCTGCAAACCCAGAACTAATCTAGAAATTAGAAAAATCCACTTACTAAAGTAATGCTTCCCATTCCAGCATTTAGAAATGAAACCTCCCTCCCTCTTACTCCCTACAACTAATCCAGCTCACCTATGAAACAGAGAGCCATATATACCTAAACACATATGTAGGAATAGGCAAAACCAGAGTGACAACCTACAGAAAAATGTTTCTTCCTGAATATGAATGCAAATGCTACTGTTTTGAGGAAAACAGATGTACAGACTTTTTGGAGCTATTTTTACTGGCATTCTGATTTTATTACAAAATAAACTATGAATGAATGAAATTCACACACAATATAAACTATGAACAAAAATGAATGAAGCAACAGTTGATAATTTTCCAACTTTTCTACTCAACAAGGATATTTAGAATCCCAGTAACGTACTAATAGTTTCTGTGTGCTTAACAGCTGGAATAAAAACTTGCAAAATACAAGTTCTCAGCATGCACACTGCATGATTTGTGTACACATTCCACTTGCAAGTACTGCTGTTAAGCATTATACGTACTGGTATTTTTAGAGGCATGAGCAGGACAATAAAAAATTATTCTGTTGATTTTATGGAGAAATAAGCACTGGGATTTGGTACTTTATCATTAACCAGATACTAAAAAAGTTCAGCAAAATGGCCAAACCAAAATAGTGAACACAGGGGTAGTCTGAAAAGATTATTCTGTTTTACTTAAGAAAATACATAAACACAATCAAGAAATCATTTGCAATATAATTTTTTAAAAAATAAGTTCAAGAACTGTATACATTTTCTTATAACTTCAGTTTACAGATAAAATGCTTGCTTTCTGGGTTTCCTTCCTTCCTCATCCTCCACAAGGAGAAGACAGAACTACAGAACTTGCATCAGCTTTATCAAATCTCTCTACAGCTCTTAATAATTACACTAACTTTTTCTAACTTCTGATTTCTGAATCCAGAAGCAAATGTTTTCAATTAAATACTTGCATACTTAGAATATGAGCACACACAAATCAGTGAAAAGACGTATTTTAAACTGCAATTGTCCAGAGACAAACTTAACCAGCAATTATTCTTTTTTAATTATTTCTTTGCATTTTCCATGCAGTGTGCTGCAACTGGCATCTAAATAGTTTCTTTGCCTTCATGAAGTGAAACATCTTGAATGCTCAAACTGTACTTTTATGAGTGCCGAGGGACCCTAAATTTTAGTGGTCTATTAAATGCCAGCAATTTCATGCTGCCTTGCATAAAACAGCATTCACATATTAGAGCACTGTGAGTCCATAGCTGCATTATGCATCTCCCACACAACTCAAATATGAGCTGTGTATTTCATTTAAAAATATATATATTTCTTTCAAAACATATACTTTTTCAATTAATATCTTTAAAGTTCCATTTCATTGTTGTATGTTACACTACCCACATGGAAAGTGAGTGCACTTAAGCAGGGATTATAAAATTCATCAATATAGATAACACTCCTTTTATTTGAATTCAGTGTTTTACTTAGAGATGTAAGTTGCAAATGCATAACTCTATGACACCTGGCAGGAAAGTACGAACAAAATATTCTCCAAACAACCTAATTTACTTTGCCATAAAAATCACTGCACTTAGCTTATTTAGTACACATTACTCTGAAGAATCTGTTTCTGCAAGTCCTGCTGCCACCCAGCCTTTCAGAATTAGTTTTTATTCTCTTACCTGGCAATAATATCCTTTTCAAGAAGAAGTCCAGTCCTAAGGTTTGTTTGTACTGTTTTCCAAACGTTTCTTGAGCAAAACGGGTAGCTAAGGATGTCTAAAACAGAACAGTATCAAATTAAGTCGTCATTTTTAACAGCAACAAACTTTATGTTAACCCAAAAGTATGAAATACAGTTAAGCACTTTTTAAATCAATGAATGCTAACAGTGTTCATGGATTTGGATTGACAAGCACTCCAGTCAGTTTCAACATAATAACAGGAGGTGGCAAAGGCTACTAATTTATGCAAAAAGAAGCAAGGTGCATATTTGCATTGATTTCAAAAAAACTCTAATAGTTCTATTACAAAATACTGTGCAGATTTGAAGGAGGTATCATTAGTATGCTCAAACAGACATAAATCTAGGCAACACCATCTGTACCTGAAGATCTCAGTATTTTTAAAAAGCGTTCATTTCAAAAACAAGGGTCCTCCCTGGTAAGGAACACCATGATCCCAGACCAATTTTTTGGGAGAGAATAGAGACCTGCACAGTGCAGGATCCCACAGAGGGCTCCTGAGTGTGGCCAGATTCTGCCACTGTACATCAGTTTTGGGATCAGGGATTACACGAACTCTTAAATGGGAAGAGTCCTTTCTTGCACACAGAAAAAGAAGGTAAACACATATTAAGAATGCACATTTATAGATTTATTCCTTTCAGCAGAAATTTGAAAATTTATTTCTTCAATTGGTATTCTGTGGATTTATGAAAGCAAACCAATACACTGTTAACCTAATAATAAGCTTTTAGTGTATATGGCTGAAAGGATACACAACTAACCTGGGCAAACTACTGAAGCAAGGCACTTACATTCTATTGGTAGCAATTTAGTGTCTCCATTCAAGACAAAAAAAAAAAAAAAAGAAAAAAAAAAAAAAAAGAAAAACGAACAGGTGGGGGTAGAAAAGGAAAGAAATATACATACAAAGAGGCCCACAAAAAAAGTAAAGGAGAAAATAGTGGTACAATCATAAATAATTCAGAAGTTTGTATTGTGAAAAAAATACTAAATATTAAAAATTATAAAATACAAGCAACATCAAATTAGTGTACACTTAAAAATCTCTTGTTGGCATGACATTTGTAAACAAATATACAAATTAACTACAGAAAAAAAAATCTAAACATTTCTTTACCTATATAGAGAAGGAAAAATACTAAGAGGCTCACAAAACCTTTACACTGTCTAAGAAAAGTCAAAACAGGCCAGAAGGGTTTTTTCTTGCCAGTTTTCCATTTATCAAGCCATGAAGAGATAAGTCATACCAATTGTTATCAGAATTGCTGTTAGGAGCACATTTAATCAAAAATGCAATAGCAAAATAATGCAAATAGTTCTGAAATATGAGAATAGGCAAGGTCCTTGAATAGAAGGTTATAACAAAGATCTAAATTAGGCTAATGCCAAATGTACACAGAAAAAAAACACCCTTTTTAGCATTAAAACATTATCACCAGAGCTCCAGCATTAACACTCTATTATGAATTGGCAAATATTTATTCAACTATTAGATTTCCTATTAAATAAATAAAATAAGATTTACTGTTTTCATGTTTCTGTATCATATTTCTATTCCTATCACTGGAATATCATTCATATACAATGAATGATATTTTCATATCAGAAGACATGTTTAGGAAACAATTCCACAAGTCAGTGTTAGCCTAATGCAATATTTTCATTTACTTCACTGAACTCAAGCCACAAGAGGATTAAAAATAAAAAAAACAAATGGGGAAAAAAGCAAGTAAACTAGAAATAGCATGAGTACACTTATATATTTATATCCCTGTGGAAAGGGGGAAGACCACAGAGAACAAATCATGAGAAGATTCTTCTGCCTTCAGCTATGTGACAGTAATCCTAACTACACACACAAAATAAAATTCAATACAGATTCAGACTACAGTACTGAAAGAGTCAGTAGAACTGATTCATTTAATCTCAACAGTTAGCATGTCAAGATTACAATGACATCTTTAATTTATTATGACTTTAAAGATGTAGATGAGAATAAGACAATTGCATGAATACACTATTCAGTCCTCTTGAAATTTTCCTTTTTGGAAAAGTAACTAGTGCCTAGAGTACAGATTCAAGTAGCATCTGACTATATCACAGTATTCTATATTCTCCAACACACTAATTAAGATCCTCATTAAATAAGCAACCACTCTCTTCTTATTTTAAAGGCTCAGTAAATATTAGCTTATCATTCTTTGACATTCAATAATCCCTGAGGACTTCTAGGGCTGTTAGTAACAAGAAATGACACATATTCAATAAGAGCTGACCTATAAGAGTAGCAAATAATCAACAGCATGGCAAAGTCCTCTGAAACAGTTTTTCTCCACTGTGCTCTTGAATGCAAAGGAATTTATAGCACAAAATCATTGACTAACTCCTTCTTAAAATTTTTCCTAATAAATGTTAGAGCTCAAGGTGTTGAATTACCAGTCTAGGGTCCTCTATTTTTTCACAAAACAAGCATTTATCCACAAAATGCTAAGAGCAACAGTTCAAACTTCTTTACAACAATAAACAAAGAAGTTACGTCAATGCATATTCAAGTGCCTCTACAATGCAAATACTCCCTTCAAATCCCAGAACTGTTCCCTGCCATGCTTGCCAGAAAAGATTTTGCCCAACTGTTTTACCTGAGGACATGTTGAATACAATCTATATAAGAATTAATGAAAGTTAAATAATGGTTCAGTAGAACTGTAGTTGTAAAAATAAATAAGTAATCAGTGACCATTTTTAGAAAGGCTGCATTCCATACAATTCCACCCCTTACCGTCAGGTTCAGAAAACAATACAATACTATGAAGGCCTTTGTTCCTTTGCAGCTCTATTAAGACAAACAGTTCACCAGCTTGCATAGCAGAATTTCCAGCAAAACTTCCATCCGTTTGGAAGGTTCACACACCTAATGTCAACATCCTATTCTAAATATCATACTTTATTGAAGAAGGTTGGGGTTAAAGAAGCCTTGTTAAAAACAAGAAAATGTCTTTGAACTCTAATATACAGCAACCAAGATAGCAGTAAAAGAAAAAAAAAGTACGGTATTCTAAGTTCAAAATACAATAGGATATTTGGGAAGGCTTTTTTCAAAGAAGCAAAGATGGAATTTAACCTTACATAAAAGGCAAAACCCCACCAATGACACCTCTTTGAGCAAAGTCCTATAGAATTAAGTTTTGAGAAAGCACTGCCAAAGTGTAGTATCACAGTTGTAAGAAAGAAAACTAAACCAAAAATTCAATTAGATGCAAGCACATAGCTCTGAAGCCATGAATTTCCATTCACACACAAACTTTAGCCACAAATTGAAAATCTATTTTCCAAAAACCACATGTATCTATCCTTTCTCTCACTCACTTCTAGAACATCAATGCCATTATCCAAGCACAGCTACACTAATCCCTCAGTCATGTCCTGTCTTACTGACAAGAATTTTAGGACAAGCAAAACTAAAACAAACACTAGGCTAAATGATGAAATGCTTTAACTACCATAAAAACACATAACTGTCCAAGCTAATGTCCTTCCATCCCACTGCCAACTACTGATGCAACTTTCTCCATTGAAAAAGAGAAAATTATCATAACTTCTTGACATTTGATGTAGGTCTCTTTGATGCAGCTGGGCCAATCTGCACAGCACACTTCATTCAGTTCTCCATTTGCGAGACTCAACAGTGACAAAAATATTTTTGTCACCATCTATGAAGTTTTTGAGCCCAAGTATAACAAGACAATTCAAAATGCTTAAAAATCTTCTATCCTAAAAAATCCTTAAGTAAGCAGGACACCACTTTTTATGCCAACCTATGTTTTAGCTCCTACAACTCCCATAGCTTGAGTATTCATTATTTCATTTTCATCATCCATTGTTACCATTAGGAAAGGTAGGATGTTTCTGCTACCATACTCCAGTTCCAGCTACAACAGATAGCAAATGAACAGAACCTCAGCACACCTATTTTTCAGGACCTCCCTTTCCATTAATAGCTCTGAGATTTACTTCCAGAGGCCCAAAACCTTTTTCAACATTGGCAAATCATAACATTCTATCTTAAATCAGCATCCTTGTATATTTCAGTATTAAGCCAATCTATGCACAAAAAGAGCAGAAATAGCTGGATCATAACATCTTTTTCTTTTTTTTTTTTTTGTCAATCCATACTACTAGTAATGTTGGTTTATTTTAATGGAAAATCATTTTGGCCCAGGAAGAGTGGGTTGATTTAAAACCTAGACATGTAAGGCAGCTGTGTATATATATGTCCTTCCTATATTCAAAATCAAAGAGCCAACTGCTATTAATAATTGCTGGATTTTTTCATCCCCCCCATTGCCTCCACTTCTGATTGGTCTTTAGATTGTTTTCCTAGTTTGTCTAGTTCATTAAAATCATCCTCTATTATCTTCTGAGTAACCAGCCTTGCTTCCCTCAATTTTGATTTTCCACAGTTTACCATTACCTTGCATCTCTATTTTACTCTGAGTTTTACACATTCTACTGTCTCACTTCTCTTATGCCTTCTTCCACTTTTACTCTTCTTTACTTGTGTTTGCTCCAGCATTGCTTATTGCTACCCTTAAAAATTTAAGTATCCAGTTATCAATCCAACCACCTCAAAACAAATTAATAGAAGCACATCATGCCTCCCTTGCCTCATGGATAGAGCAATTCCTAGCTAGTGTAAGTACAAACATTACCTTTAGCTTGAACTGACATTGATTTGTTTTTAAGCTGCTACCAATCCCTTCACAGAACTCGAGTCACATTGCTTCTAAGCAATGGGTGAGGAAAACAGCAAGTTTCCACCTGACCCATAACAACAACTTTTTTGTTGTTCTTTTGGAAAAGAGGAGGTAAAAGAAGACAAATGTGAACACCTCACACTAAATACAAGATACAGCATTTCAGATATATCCCATCATTTTCTACACACCTCCTGTCTCATGATCCCAGAGTGACAGGAAGAGAAAAACCAACACCTTGCACAGTAAAAGAGAGGTAAGTATGCATGTGTGTGAAGACCAGCTGTGAACCAGATGTGAGAGCCAGGCAATTTAGAGCTGAAAACACATAGACATACACAGGTTTCAACAAGTAAGCGGAACGAGTAATCAACAAAAGAGAGAAGCCTCAACAATTTAGTCTTCTGAGGTAAAAAATAGTAGTAGGTACATTTTATCCTTCCATTCCATGACCCAATTCCTTCTTTATTTTTACAAGACCCTACAATAAATCTGTGAGTGCTGCCAGCCAGTGGGATGGTGGGAAGGAGCCTCTATTACAGCATCATCTAGGGAGGACGGGAGGAAAAGCAGCCCACCAGAGTACTGCTGCTGCTCGTGCCCAAGAACCTGCCCTGGAAGCATGAGATTCCTGGAGTCAGCAGGAGATGCAGTGAGTGGCAGCTCCTGTGAGAGAGGTATGAACCAACAGGAATATACATTAAAACTCAAGAATGCTTGAAAATCTATGCTTGGCAAGAGGTCTTGCCACAAGCTGCTCAACAGCAGCAGTGAAAGGATTCTTCAGTGTGAATGGGAAACTCCTGGGAAATGCTACTCATGAAGCAGCACTTCAGCTGTCAATGCTGTACATTTATTATGCTCTCATCACACAGCTGGTTGGAATTGCCCATCTACTGACTCACATGAACACAATACCACTTCAGACTGGGTTTAGAATCACTGGAGACAAAAAATGTTTTGTTTCTTTACAGAGCTCTGAGTAAGTAAGTGAGCAAAACCACATGTACTTTCACTTAGAGCTTATTCCTATTAATGCAAGGCACTACACTTAAACCAGCTCTACGAACATTTCCTTTTTTCATATGAACTGTGAAGCATGCAGAATTTCTTCTCCTTCTAGTTTCAAAAGTTAAGGACAGAAGAAAGAGCTGTATACTTCAATCATACATCATAATAAATTTACTATTTTCATGTGTGTCTCACAAAATTATTCAGGCTATATATGCCAATATGCAATGTTCAAGGGAATAGTTAGGATCGGTAACTATTTTAAATGGTCCAAAAGCAGCCTTTCTTTTGCCTTCTTTGGTCTCTCCTTGTCAAAATTTCTCTTTTACAAAGAGAAATTTGTTGGATTATTGTTTGATTGTTTTGATTATTGTTTGATTATTGTTGATAAATAAACGTTTATAAACAGGGTTTCATTATGGTGATTAAGATAGGGAAAAAAACAAAAACAAAAACATAGAAGTTATAAACTAAAATAGACCCAGCAGTGCCTTTTCAAACTCTGAACAGTAACTCCACTAGATGCAAAGTGTTTCATCCAGCTCGGGAGGCTGGCAGCTCTGTATCCGAAAGGAAGGGCGCTGCAGCCCCAGCTAAGCGACCTTCCCTGCTCGTCCCTTTGGAGGGGAGCCACCAACCCCCGTGCCCGATCCGGACCCCAGCCCTGCCCGCCCGGGGCACTGCAGCGGCCGAGAGCGGCTCTGGGCTGCTGCAGCGGCTGCGGCCGAGCAGCTCCTGCCTCCATCGCGCCATGGGCAGCGCAAGGGGACCACGGCAACTCCGTCAGCACAGCACGAACTACGTTACTGACCGCTCCTTTGCTCGCGGCTCAAGAAAATTGGATTAAAGTCGTGTACGTCTTTTAGGTGACGATACCTCCTCGGGTCGGAAGGCCGGCCAGAGGGTTCGGCTGCCGGGCACGGCGCGGACACCGGCGGGAAGAGCCCGCGTCCCCCGTGCCTGGCGGGCCTGGAGCCGAGGGGGAGCAGCCAGCGGGTATCGCGACAGCCGCAGCGCGACCTGGAAGCGCCGCGGGCTGCTCCCTCGTCAGCAGCAGAGCCCGGGCAGCGTGAGGGGGAAGGCGGCGAAGGGGCTCGGGGCACCGCGGCGAGGGAGAGGAGCTGCCGGCGGGGCCGGCACTGACCTTGCCGGTGGTGCCGTCCCCTAGCACCACCAGCTTGAGCTGGCGGTCCGGACTCTCCTCCTCCTCCGAGTCCGACATGATCTCTACGGCCCCGGCGGGAAAGAAGAGGCTGAGAGCAGCCGGGAGGAGCCGGGTGCAGGAGCGAGAACGGGACAGGGAGAAGAGCGAGCGCCGCGCTCACAAAGCCGGCACCAACGGTGGAGCCAGCACCGCCATCTTCCTCCGGCGCGCCCTCCGTCGCTATGGTCCGCGCGGAGCGAAACCAACGACAGCGCCGAGAAAAGGGGGGGAAGCGGTAAATCGAGGGCGGGAGATACAGCAACAAGTCCATCTACTGCTTCGGGACACACCCACTTCTTCCCCCACAGGATCGGGGGATGGTTCAGCCCGGCTGTCGGCCGCTCGCCGCCGTGGCTCGGGCCCCGCAGTGACGCCCTGCGCGGTAACCAAGCAACGGGGGGCGGGGCGGGGGCGGGTCTATGGCCCGGCCGCCCCGCTGAGGGGCGGGGCCGCCCTGTGTGGGGCTGATCGGGCGGGCGGCGGGAGTTTGCTATGGCAATTACATATGGCAACTAAATAAATAGCTATGGCAGCCAAATCATAGTCACTGACTGGTTTGCGTTGGAAGGGACCTTAAAGATCATCTCATTCCAGCACCTTTCTCTAGACTGGGCTGCTCAGAGCCCCGTCCAGCCTAGCCTGGAACACTGCTGGGATGGGGCAACCGCAGCTTCTCTGGGCAACCTGTGCCACGGCCTCACTGCCCCTCACAGCGAAGAATTTCCTCTTAATATCTAATCTAACCCTGCACTCTTTCAGTTTAGAGCCGTCCCCCCTGTTCTATCCCTGCATGCACTTCTATGAAGTCTCACTCTCATATCCCCTTTATGGGGGTACATAAAGGCCTGTGCAGTAAGGTCACTCTGGAGCCTTCTTTTCTGCAGACTGAACAATCCCGATTCTAGAGACTCCACCATTTTCTCACACAGTCTCAGAACTTTTCTATCCATATAAGCAATCAGTAAGAAAACTTGTCAAGGTAGCCCTAGCTGAATTTCAGGCCATTACTTTATTACATATAAAATACATTGTATAGCCAGGGAGAACAGGCTCTAACCTCCTCTTTTGCATCAGCCTTCCCTGAGTTTGAGAACTGCCAGTGTCCCTTCAGCCTGTCATCTTCCCCACAGACTAAACAACTCCTCTTCAGTCAGTCTTTCCCTCGGTTGTCTTTTCTAGACTTCTGATTATTCTTGTTGCTTTCCTTTGGCCCCTCTCCACTTTGTTGCAGTACTGTGCCAAAAACTGGATACAGTACTTCTGTTGAGGCCCTGGGAATACTGAGCAGAGTGGAAGTATTACTTCATGTGTCTTGCATACAAGACTTCTGTTTACATATCCCAGTATGATGTTTGTTTTCTTGACAGTGTGACATTGCTGACTCATATGAGTCCTGATTTACTAAAAGAGCCTCTGGATGCTCTCCTGTTATAGGCATTTCATACATGTTGAAGCTTTATTTCTGTTTGACTGTAGTGCTTTCTGCTTTTCCCCATTGAATTTAATCCTGTTTCAGGCAACTTGCAACATTTGTCTATAAAATTTTATTTATAATGTTATCCCCTAAAATGCATGCCAACCATCCTGACTTGCTTATATCTGGAAGTCTAAGAACCATACTCTATTCAAAAGTCATTAATAATGATATCCAATAGTACCAAATCTCTTCAAGCCTCCATTTGACATATTTTTCCAGTATGAGTGACAACAATTCTTTGGACATTGTTTGTATGACAATTTGAACAGAACCATCTGGAACTCTTTGAGGTATAGATGTATTTTAATGGATTCAATTACAAGCTAAGAATTTTTAGAACAAGTTTGTATAATGTCTGAATAGCAATCATACCTGTTTCAGTCTCTTTCATGTTTTCTTTGTGATATGTATGTCTGAAATTTCCAATATTACAAGTACACTGTTTTACTCAATCCTTAGTTGGATGAAGAAGGTTCTGTATTGATCATGTATTCATGTGTTTGCATAATTGAGGCTAAATGCTTTTCTAATGACATTCTGGGAAAAAAAATTAAAAATAGGGGGGCAGATACACCATAAAGTACATTAGATTCTAATGGAAAACAAGACACACACCTTTGTCACTCCATACTTTGAATCAAATTTAACATGTTCTTCATTATTTTCCACTTCAGATAATCATTTAGCCTAATTGTACTGCAAGTTCTCTTAACTTGGCACTTCAGCAAGATCAGCATCAGGGCTCAGCATTTCTTGGAAGGAAGAGCAATGGGGACAAACGTGGAATTTGCCCTTTATGATTTCTGACATATTGAATAGCTGTACAGTTGGCATTAGACATTTAAAAGCTCCACATCTCACACCAGGGCAGACACATGCTTGATAAACCACTGTTGGTGGAACTGCTCATATTTCTCAAATGCCACCTCAGTCACATTAAGAAAAAAATATGAAATAATAATTTAAAGCTTTCTTGATTTTGAGGGGAAACAGGTTCTATTTAACTCACAAGATGAGAAGCTACATGTGCAAAAGCAGGATGATAAGAGAGCAAGGTGCTCTAGGTGTCCAGACTATGTGTATTTTCATTTGAAATACCACAAAGAAATGTGTGTGTTGTAATAAACATCCCAAAATTTAGTTTACTTCTTCCCTTTCATCTTTGATGTTGTATTCATGGGCTTAAATTTATATTGACCCTGTGTATCTGATCTGTTTAAATAAGCAGTTATATATTAAAACATAATTTTGGAAGTACAATAATACTTGGTATGGATAAACATGCATGCTTGCTACTGGCTACTAAGAAAAATGAATGGAAACTACCTCAGGAGATGGCATAGGAATGCAATTGGGCAACTCAGCTCCCAAAAACCTCCTTGCTTAAGTCTATGAATGACAGGAATGTACTAAAATCACTTTTTACTGTATAAAAGATAAGTGTACAAGAAAAAAGGTGCCTGTTGGAGTTAATGCTTTAACAATAATACTACCAAAGAGTGTTGTTTACCATTATTTAACTTAAGCAGCATAACAGGGCAAACAATCTGACTGGAAATCTTTACACATCTTGCTTGCAATGTTCAGCAAGCTCATTAACAGCATGGTGTGGTCATTTTACAGAGTGGTACAAACTTTTGCTACAATACATCCCCTCTGGGAGGCTTTCAAATTGAACTATTTTTGTCATTGCCATCTTTACTAAATATGCATTTTATAGATGAAAGGAAGCTAGTCTCAAAGTGTTTGATACTTCACAGTTAAAGGAAATATATGAAGTGTGTTGAAAAGCACTGGAATTAACAAACAGATCACTGCAGTGAAAAAAAAATCATTGATGGCAATATAGAAATAATTTGAAACTCTTATGCATATTTAAAACATTAAGAAAAAATCCTTGAGCAGTTACTTTGAATGGAGTTTTCACTGAAAAGAGCCTGGGTCACCAAGTGACGCAGACAATAAATATATATTGTTAAGTAAATATATATTGTTTGACATTTGGTCTGTATTTTGTAACTTTCCATAAGTAGAATCACTGCAACTTCTGAATGAGTTTTTGGGAGACACAGGTAGTAGAGTGTGACAGCACAGGCCAGAGATGTTCAGGAGAGGATACAGGGAGCAGTGGAGGAGTTAGAGCTTATATGTAGGTAGGAAAGGAGGGCTGGATAGGGAAGTCTGTGGGAATTTCTAAGGGGCAGAGAAAAAGAGTGGGAGTTTTTAGTATTCACTCTTCACTGTCCACATTTTTATGTAACATCTTCATCCATCTCAAGAGACAGAGCCAAGTACCCAGCTCACCTCATTTGGGTTTAAAGGAATTTTCCTTCCTGGCCTCTGTGAATTTTTGTGTTGCACTTGTTCCCTTCTTCACATTTTCCCCTACAAACCTGGTTAAATTTTTCAGTGCAAGCCATTGATTTTCATTTCTGCTCATGTTTTGAGCTGGAAGTCAGAAATACTCTCTTTTTTAATCCTGTCATTTTGTTACCGTTTAATTAGAAAACTATTTTTGATAATCAGTTTCTGTTTGAAGAAATAGTACAGTTCCAGTTTTGATTCCTTTGCCTCCTTGCTCTTAAGCTACCCTAACTAAGTAATTGTGGCACACACAGTCCACCATGTTTGCAAATGCAAACTGTACAAATGCAAACTACACCTCTGAATGTGGGAGGGGTTTTTTGAATGTAGTATAAGGTTGTACTCCCTTATGCAAGTATCTACAAAATCACTAAAAATCATTGCCTACATAGGAAATAGATGTATGCTTCTCCCAAGCTCTGAAAAAAGGTGTGAATCAAGCTGAATGAGGTGGAATCTGCACTGAGAGAAAAAGGAATAGCATGTGTGAGAGCCTTCAACCTTTTTGCCATCCTCTTCAAGAATGCAGGGTCATTAGCTACCAAGTCATCTGTGCTGTCCTTACAGCACTTGATGGAAACAACACACTTCTCAGAGTGATTGACATGAACTATGTCCTCTGTTACCAATACAAGACATTCTTTTAATATTTGTTCTGCTTTTTGTGCCCATGCTTACACAACAACACTCTTTTGAGTTTCATTCATATCAGTTTTTGTATTTCAAGTCTCTGTAGCTGGGATCTGCACACACTCTTCTTCTTCAATGTGGACATTGACTTTCCATTTGTTTGAATGAGGAAAGTGTTCTTGAAAAGAAAAGCAAAAGTGGGCATTTAAAAAGAAAATATATTTACTTCCATTATAATGTTGGGTTTGCCACTCATCTCTGGAGCAGAGTAGAGAGCAACTGTTGGTTTTAATTGTACCACAGATCTGCAGATAAAACCCAAATTGTTTCTACATCACCAATACCATCTCTAATGTCTTTACCAGACACTATTTTCTTCTGCACTGCTTGATGACTGTGCCTTGAGTGAAACTCAGTGATTAATGTGCCTGACTAGACAGACAACTGAGTGGAAATGGTAAATAATTACTTGTTTTTGTACACGTAAAAAACAGTTCCTACTCAAGTTGGAAATCCTTGCTTTTGGAAGGGCATTCTTCCATCTTGCTTCCTACTAACCTAAGGTCATGTAAGGAGTGACTGTTTTTAACACTGTTGACTGCAGTGATGTAAAAGTCTCTGGCCCAGACACTGCAGTGAACAAGACTTTCCACTCAGTAATATGGTTAAGCTGAAGGCCACAACTTTTATGAACTACATTGCCTAACAAAACAGAGAAGAACCACTAGGCAGCTGTTCCCCACAAACTGCCCAGTAAAACAGGGTCAGTGAGGTTCACCAAGCACAGGACTGTGGAGGCCAAGCTAAATGTTTAGGAGAAAGCTGACCGCATCCTCCCTCTGGCAATAGTGACCATGGCATGTGG